TTTGATAAGACTGTCGTACAAGTGAGAGGTTTAGCGCTATAAAACCAGGTTCAATCCACCATTTTCTACATTTGAAAATGCCTGTACCAAGTCAGGAATATGACAGTTGTTGTCCATTCGTTTGATGTGTTTTGTCATTTGATTTTGCCATGTGATTAGGGACTTTCCGATTGAATTTTCCTCGGAGTTCAGTATTTTTGTGATTTTACTTTGTACACGAACAGAAGGAAAACATGTTTTTGTAAAATTCACCTTTATGCGAAAAAATATGGGATAAATGTGTTTTTTACATGTTTGACCTCGTCACAAGATTCTTTTAACATATATTACCCTGTCCGATCATCACGATTTGAAGAAAGAACAAGCCAATTAAGACCGAAGTAGTTGCTACATTATTAGGAATCAGAATCACAAAACTTTACCTGTCAGCAAAACGTAGAATATAAGGAAAATAAGAAGAATTTGACCTTACCTGACTTCACATTTGTTTTTTTTCCACCGCTTGGGGGTACCTTTATCCGGTGGTGATGCTACACAGTGCATACACAAGGGATACAATTTCAGATCAGCTTTATCCGCACTCTTCTTCACACATTCGTATCCAAACATGTTCACATTAATGTCTCTTTAGAATCAAAAACTGATTTCAAAACTGATCAATCACCTGGGAACTCACTGCTGTTGGACATCGTCATTCCAATTCTTATACTAGTCCAGAGAAAATAGCAAGACACATCTGGTATTCACACCTGGACGAAGATTAAACCAGAATACCGTAGAATTACGGCCTTTGTTATAAAAGATGGGTTGTTTGAGAGTTTAGCTGTGCAATATACAAGGAACTAATGTTTTGAGGGTGCTGACTTGGAGAACCGTTCTTGCGTCCCTGGATGACATATTTGTTTTGGAACCATCTTTCGATAAACACTAATAAACATAAAGAATGTGTTTAACATATTTAGAGAGTATGGACTCAGACTTTTGAAAGTGGTCTGACGTATAACTAACTATTTTTATTTCTATATTTTAGAATGTCAGATTCAAGTGTCATCCAAATCATTGTTCTACTACAGTGACAGTGACGGACGGGACCTTATAGTTGATATAAGGAGAGATGGGGTCGGGCAACCGGAACCTAATTGTCCCATCATCGGTAACTATGTTTTTAAGGCAAAATGATCTGGATGATCAAATGCCAGAGATGTTTAGCAATAGAATTACACTAGAGGAAATGAGAGACAGGTCTTTTACTGTGTCGGAGTCCATAAGATGATCCTTTTATCTCAATGGTTAACGGGGTCAGTGACGGAATTATTTTGAGTACGTGAAAAGGGAAGCATCCATTCCAGACCCGACGGGTGCAAGATACCAGGCCGTGTCATTACACCGCTCAATGGCGGTCGTATGTTCCGCCATTAAGATACCAGCCGTGTCATTACACCGCGAAGAGGCGGTCGTATGTTCATCCATTAGGTGGCCACAGAAGAGGGTCTATTATCTACACCGTTTGATAGTCCGGTAATTATCCTATACTGGATAGTGATTATGTTCCGGATAAGACACCTGAACTAAGTGAGGAAACACTCTTTGTTTCAGTGGACGTATATACAGGAGATAATGTTCATAAGCTGAGCGAGCTAACTCATCTAAACTGTAGTATTCCACTTCATTTAGTGTGGACGAGCCCGCAGTGGCTATCGGTAAAAAAAACCAGATTTAGCGACCAAGGAACCAGAACAGAGGCCGAGGAACCAGAACCAGTAGAGGAGCTGAAGGCACTGACAAAGGGGACAAAACCGATAAAACCAGCTACAAAGAGGTGTCGGCGACAACCAAAAAGAGCAATGAGCTTGTGTTGCTGAGATGTTTGACCTGAAAGGGTCCATAATTGTCCTCACATATTGAGGATAAACGGAAGAAAGTGAAAACAAGACTTTACGTGCATCTCGAAACGTGGTAAATCGGTAGTTGACTTTATATTCACAACTCACGAAAATCTAAACTTGAACATAGACTTTGATGTGAAAACCATGTCTAATATTATCGATAGTTTTGAACTACAAGAGTGCAGTAAAATACCAGATCATTTAGTGCTACAGGCAGTAATAAGAAGGGAAACTTAATAGTAAAGTTATCTCAAAAATAGGACAAAAGTGTGCACATGATGATCAGCATAAAATAACTACTGTGAATTCTTTTATTTTCGTGGGTACCAATTTTCGTGGATTGAGGAAAACTTGCATTTTCGTGGATATTAAATTTCGTGGTTTTGGTAGAATCTGCATATATTCCTTTAGAAAATTTGTAGTTCGTAGAAATTTAAATTCGTGTTACCCTTGTTCCCACTCAATTCACGAAAATTAGTATCCAACGAATATTAATGAATCCACAGTAGTAGAAAGTCAAAATACAAACCATATTGGAACGAAAACCTTCAGGAACATTGGAACAAAGCATGTAGACAGGTAAAAGTCTGGATTAAATATAAGATATGTGGACCGAGGAAAAAACGTTTACGAGTGCAATTTGTAACAGCAAGAAATGATTTGGATAAACTTCTTCGAAAGGAAAAAACGAAATTATCAATAACGCCAACAAAAAGAACTTTTTGGTACATAGAAAGAAAATAATACGAAGGATTTTCGGCGGAAAATAGGAAAAAGGAATTGCAAAGGATAGGAATAATACAATACCAATGGAAGTACGCCTATCCAATGGTAACACCAGCAAGGATATACAGGTTGTGTATGAACATCGAGAGGTGAATATTTTAAAAAGGATGAAAGTGTCTCATATGTCTTAAAGGCAGGGATCTAATATGGTTTTAAGGATTTTTATATTGTGAATGATGATGTATATTAGATTGTGACACTATGATAAACTATTTACTCACATACTTACTTACTGTTTTCCATCAATTGTAATCGTAAGTCTAAGTGTAACCGGTAATTATCTTGTTTCCGAAAACGTCTCTTCAGGACAGAGGTGGTGTTGTTTCTTTATCCTTAGTAAGGGGTTCTCATAGTATCTCATACTACACCAATGATTACTCACCTTTACTACACTATTAAATATTTGTTTTTCTTTTTTGCTTGTCATTCTCTGTACCTTTGATTGTATTGGTTTTTAGAGAATGAATTATTATATATATTCATAGTCGGGACTAGGTACCCGGTAATGGACGGTTGCAAGACGGCTCTGCCAAAAGACAAAATGGACCGGACCGACTACAAAAAAGACAACTCGGGTCGTCAATAAGTCAACTCGGACCGCCTATAAAGTCAAGTCGAACAAAGTATTTAAAGACAGTTTCGATTGTTTGAATACTAAATGACCGTTTACAAAAAAGAAAACACGGATTCGTCTATGAAGACAAGTCGGACGGTCTATACAGACAATTCAAGACCGTCGTGATGCAAAAATCTTTCGGGTGTCAAACAATGTACTACGAATGTGTATCATGAGCTTGGTAGATATCCTTTGATATATCTTAGATTGTATAATATTATAAAATACTGGTTAAAACTGTTATCAACGAATAATTGTATTCTTAAAAATCGTCATTAAGAACAGGGAGCGTATTCACAAAGCACCCGTTAACTAACGCACCAGTCGGCTATTAAAGGCCCCGAAATGACAAATGTAAAATAATTCAAACGAGAAAACTAACGGCCTCATTTTAATGTACAAAAGAAATGAACGAAAAACAAATATGATATACAGCAACAAGCGACAACCACTGAATTACAGGCTCCTGACTTGGGACATGCACATACAGAATGTGGCGGAGTTAAACATATCTGCGGGCGCCCCCCCTTGTGTAACAGAACAAGATATGAACAAACTATAAAAATCATGAATTTTTACTTCAATCACCTCACATTGAGTCATGTAATAATTATAACAATAAGTACAATACAGATTATTTATTTGATATAATTCAAGATATTAGAATTGAGAAATGTAAATATAAATTTATATACAAGTCCAAAACAGTATATTCATATCTATTATTTATTGTCATCTACATCAGACATACAGTTCTGATATCATACAATCTATTTATAGAGCATTACATGTTCAAATGCTTGAATACGCATAGGACATTCTCTTTATATTGTTTAATCAAAGATGTCCATTTGTCAATAACTGTGTCTTGCTTATCAGCTACACAAAGGGAATTTCCGTTGATGACTAATTTGTTTCAAGTACATTCCAAATCTAAAAATAGAATAATCTCGACGATTGCAAAGTATATTCCAGGTGATATTATTATCTTTCACTATTCACATAAAACATCCAGTTTCTTTCAAATTAAATTCACTTATGTCATGGTCTATAGACTCAGCGACAAGCAGTTCGGTTCCACGAAATTCGATCACTATTTTTATTCATGCCATGCCTATATCAGTGTCAAGGTCGTTAGGCAGCTGAAAATAGAAAATAAGACGTGCTATTTATTCAACCAAGAAATTATGTTTTCAAAAAATGTATTATTAAAGTGCATCATTAATCAAAACAATAAAATGAATATATCATACCAAAAAGAATATAAGCAGACAATTTTATATTGTTTATTATCACTTGTAGAATTTAGTACATGTTTACACAAAAGATATTGTTCATTTATAGAAGGTATTAATTCATGTTCTAAAATATGTATAGCACAAATATTTTACATAGATTTAAGTTTATTTAAAATATGCATCTGTATTGTCATACAGGAATTTATTAGCTTGAATATGTTAACATGCCAGTATATAAACACATATCAATTTAAATAAGAAAATTATGACATAAAAAATACATTTTTGTTCTTTAAATTGTCAGGGTCTTGGTGCAAAAGAGATGTTTTGATACAGATAAGTAGAAATTTGAATTAACATTAAACAAATTTTTTTATAATGTTTTGATAATTCAGCAAAATTTTAGGAACACTTTATTGTGAAATATAGCATTTTAAAAATCGTTTGAATAGTCAGAATTTTCTTTTATAATTTGTGCGAGTGGACTTATTAGTTGTTCCGATTCGTCTCCAATATTCGTAAAGGACACCAGTGGGCCTCATGAAAAACTGATGCTAATGGTGGAGTCTGCGCACTCCTATTGTCATCTTTCTGCACGTACACGATAATAGAAGACACAAATTCAACGCCCATAGGTTGAGGTATTATAATTGTATATAGTCTTACTCACACACATTTAGTCCAGTTTCCTTCAGGGGACAGCGATCTTGATAGCATCACATTTAAGAAACAACTCGGGCAACATTAGTTAAAACCGGAAGTACGGCAGTCACATATATTCGTGGATATGGAATGCGGTAAAACAGCCATTTATTTTTTATATACACAATGTTACCCTTGCACATCATTAAAATATTACAAGTTGTTTTGATTCTTTTCGCGTTCTTGTTAGTTTGCTCTGACATACATTTCTAGTGTAAACAAGTAATAGCTTTTCCAAAAAGCTTGCCGTTTTATTGCTTATTATATTGAAAAATGTTTTTTTTGATTTGTAGTTTCATCCAGTCAGAATATACGTTTGCATATAAATTGTATTGGGTAAAAAAAAGTGGGAACATTAGAAAGGCCAATATAGTATTTCAAGGGTTTCGCCTCTCTTTTACAATTTTCTTTTTTGTGCGTGGTGATTTTTAACCCCTGAAAAAAGCTTAATTTCTAAATCACTTGCGTTTTCGCCTGTACCGATTGCGGTAAACTTTTTTCATGAATATATTTTTCAGCATACATGTCTTTTGTTTTCTGTCTGTTTGTTTGATTGTGTCTGAGAAAAATGTGATCAATATCTTTCATTAATTATCCCGATAAACCAACACAAACGTTATAATAAAGAACTAAGTGTCCCTATATCCTACCTGAGCAGGTCCTAGGAGTGTATAAGGGTACATAGTTCCTGCAAAAAATGTTTAAAGAGTAAATCGATTTAAAGTCTGTTCTGAAAAAAAAGTCAACAAATTGGCTTGTTATGAAGCAAAGTGAATACATGTGTGACTCTTTGGTCGTTACTTTCTGTGTTTGTATATGTATATATATATATATATATATATAGGTGTTACTTTTTCTTTTTAACTTTGTATCAATTTAATGAGTTAACCACTTTTCAACTGGTTTTTACAATTATTTCTTACGTAACATAAAAGAAAGGATAGGGTATCCGCCCATGACACAAAATCGGCTCATGCAGAGCAAAAACACAAAGAGCAAAGGAACAGCGCTTTAATGATGTATGTTGCGCTTTAACAACACTGCTCCAGGTTAGGGTTTGGTTGGGCTCCTGCAAACATGGTTAACCCCGCCAAGTTCGATGTGTGGCTGTACCAAAATCATGAGCCTGGGTTTCAATTGTTGTTATGTTTTATATTAGCTTTTTTTTTATAATTGTTTTGTACATAATGACGTGCCGTTGGTTTTGTCGTTTGATTTTATTTTACATTTATCATGTCGGATCCTTTTATAGCTTGCAATGCGGTACGAGTTTTTCTCATTGATGTAGGTTGACGTATAAATACTAACATCTACGTCATTTTGTCTCTGGTGGATATTTACCTCATTGATAATCATACCCCATTTTCTTATTTTCATGTTACAAATATCTGACCCGCTTATTTTCTGAACCATGACAAAAAATATTAACTAAAACTATGGTTTTAAACATTCGCCAACACAATCACATGCATCGATCAAACTTCAACTATATACCATTTGTTGTCAATTATACAAACATGTACATGAAGCTGTGATTATTATTTTCTCATATGTTAGTATAGAGTTCGTTTCTGTTCATTTCCTTAAGGTCTCCTAAATTTTTGTATTCTAATTTTGCCATTTAAGAGATTTTGTGTTGATTGCATATTTTTGAAAATCTTTGTAAAATTATCCACAATTATCTATTTTTTTGAAAATTTAGAGCTTGAAATATTGTAGCGACATGTATTCATTGAAGAAACCAGAGTGTTGACCTTGTTTAGCTTAGTTTTTGTAGTTGCTGTCTTATTTATAATACCCTACATCTCCTTCGAATACACAAATAAATATTGCAACGCTTTAAATTTTTTTTACATGTATATATGTATATATATATTCCTGCTTTCAAAACACCTTACGAAACTAAGAAAACAAAGCCGCCGTACCTGTTCCGACGATTATGAGTGTAAAATACCCCTCCCTTCCCGAAAAAGTTACCTGTATGAGTAGTATCATTTTTTAAAAATTATTTTCCTCTTTGAAAGTTGACTTCACTCTTCACTATACTTTGCTGGACGTTTTCATGATAAGGAATTCGACGCATGTCTACATCAACCAACGCCTTTTCTATACTATCCTATAGACCTGGGATAAAATTAATTTAAAATAAGTCATTTGAAGATTTTTTCATTCGGATTTTGTTTATGCATTTAAATTTTATCAGTTAATATATATATACTTATCTTTGATTTGTGTTTACTACAGACATAATCATACGCGATCCTTCCTCCATTTACATGTTTTCATGAACGTAACATTTGCAAATAGCTCTGCACAATCACGACAGTGTGTAACTTGATATAGCGTAAATTAGTTAAATCACTACGTGCGCACTTTACACGCTGTTTTGGCTATTTATAGATGTAAACCAGTGTATGCTATTATTATCCTGTATAACGATATGCATGAGTGATAACTGTAACTTTATTGATGATTTGTAACACGTACAGGAACTGATCTAAAATACACTAACAAATTAGTTATCAATACGACAATATATTTTTACATCCCAGCTCCTTTGTTCTACCAGGGTTGATCTGAGCCGGATCACCCCTACCAGATCACCCTAGCTTGCTTTTTTTTGTTCTGCATGCTTTCCTTTGTTCTGTTACATTTTGGCGGGAATGTCAAATTCACAATAAAACTTAGAAATAAATATAAATCAATTGTTTTAAAACAATTGTTAACAGTCTTTCCCCTCCGAAACATGATTGATTGATTGATTGATTGATTGATTGATTGATTGATTGATTGATTGACTTATTACACACGTGAGATAGGGTCGCTTGAAACAAGCAAACACGAAACAAATAAGATCTTGGACCCGTATTAAACACAAAAGACCGAAACATGCATGTAATGGTTGGTTGGTTGGTAGTTTGGTTGGTTAAACACATGGGGCCGAGCCACTAGGACAACGCGAAAAGGGAATTGAGAGTCTAGTGCCCGTGTTTATAAATAAATAAATAAAATTCTTGCTATACTAAGATATTATGGTGCATAAATAAATGAATAAATTAAAGTCTTGGTGTACTTGGATATGCTGAATCTAACCGTGTATTTAGATTTTGGATATTAGACCATAATAGGTAAAATCCAATTTCAAATTTTTCAGTTCTTTGACCACATTCGTTCTGTGACAGAAACCTATGATGTGTCAAATATTTAATCACAATCATAATTCAGGGCTGTATCAAGCTTGAATGTCGTGCCCATACTTGCCCCAAATGTTCAGGGTTCGACCTCTGCGGTCGTATCCAGCTGCACCTAGCGGAACATTTTATTTTTATATGATCTCACACAGCTTATTTTGATAATAAAGACTTTAATTTGAGATATATGTCACTTTTACTCAATTTAAGTATATCTTTTCTTCAGCATGTTTTATATCAAGAACTTTATAATCTTTCCAATACTGTGCTTACTAGCTATTTTATTATGTAATTAAGATTGCCATTTCTAAATGAATTCTCACATTTTTTTTACAGTGTTTGCTGCCATAAAATCACAATTTCTTGTCATTAGAATTAACAGTCTGTGTATAGTACATTGAGTATATTCAAAATAGGACATAGTACTATCAACATGTTGAAAATGAAACATAGGATCATGACCAATATTTCATTATCTCTGTATTCACTATGAAAATGCATTTGATTTCAACAGTCTTAGTTAATGTTAGCATCAAAACTATTGCCATCAACTACGACAACATGAGATAATTGTAGCTGGACATTAAAATTATATATGCAAACAACAATCTAATCAATATATACAATAGAAAACTAGAAACTGAACTAGTACAACCTAACATCATGGCATGTAGACTTTCACAAGAAGAAGAAAACTATGTCAGGATGAGCTTGCTACTGACAGGAATATCTCCTCGTGCAGCAAGAGCTTTGTTTGATCGTGAATTTGCTCCTGCATGCTTAGATACCTCACTGAAGAAAGAGTATAACAAACTGCGAAATCTTCAAAAGAAGAGGGTAATAAATCAAGCACAGTGGAAACTCCTGACCCCCAGGTCACCAGGTAAGTAAAGAGAGAAATGTTATGTTTTAGTCGTCGTTGAACCTCCTGTTCTGGAGATTTCCTGGAAAGTTCAGAGGGACAAGCTATATGTCAGTTACTGTAGAACATCTTGTTCCCTAGACTTCCTGGTAAGCATATATATAGATGTTTTATGTGAAGTCGCAGTACATCCTATGTTCCCTAGATTTCCTTGTATGTATAAATATACATGTACATAGTATATGTCAGTCTCATTCGAACACTTCCTGTTTCCTAGATTTCCTTGTAAGATAAGAGAGACATGCTTTATGTTAGCCAAAGTGGAACCTTGTTTTCCCAAGATTTCCTAGTTAGTGAACATATTTAGACAAGCATGTTAAATTCCAGCTTCAGTTGAACCTAAAGTTTCCCATATTTCATAGGAAGTATAGAGAGACTAAGTCTTAGTGACACCTCCTGTTCCCTAAATTTCCTGGTGGTCCAATAAGGTCAATTCATTCGTAAGTAAAGTAAGAATACTGATACAATACCAGTTTTATTGACAATTGTCATGATTTACAAAGGTGTGAGTTTTAATTGGAATTTTCCCCACTTAAATGATAATCGTAATTAACCACAGTAAATATATCTTGTATTATATAATTGAATCGACACTTTATTATACAACTTAATACACAACTGTATACACAGTTCTTGACCCCAGTAGTATACCAATAATTATCTTTGATCTACATTACATAAAAGCATTCCATAAATTATGAATCAAAGATGAATGATTATTGATTAATACAATGCATTTCTTTTTCAAAGAAAAGACAAAATGTTAAAGTAAATGCAAGCAGCCGTCGCTGGGTCTATTTTACTTATGAAATCAGTGTCATGATCATCTGATATTAGTTAATAATTTAAGCTTGAAACAATAAACAGAATTGCATAACTTTAACCTGAGCATTTTATGCAATAAAATGTATTTGTTTATTCACCTTTAAATCTTTAAATTGATTTTTTAACAGTATAAGATATTTGTATATGTTTATCTGAATACAGGAAATGTTTGTTTCCAAATGAAAAAAATGAACACCAATTTAAATAAAAATTACTTTATATTTTGTTGTTGTTGAAAAAGTGCATTTTCAATGCATCTTTCTGAAAATTATCAAGTTAAACTTTTACATAAAAAAAATATACCTAACTTCCTTTGAAGATTCTTCTGTCCATCCTTATCACAATCATTTAATTAAAAAATATTAAAAAAAAAGTGAAAAATCATTGCTCCTACATGTTTCTAAAATTGAAATATCGAAAAAATTTGCATCACTATTGAGAATTTTTTTTTTCAAAAATCTAAAAGATCATAAGATGAGAGATAAAAATGTCATACCTATGTTTGAGCATAGCAATACTCCCAAAAGCAACTATATTTATTTATATGAAAATTAAGAGGAACAAGCTGGTTTTATCAGCTGAAAAAAGAAGAAAGGTTATCTTTCTAAACTTATGCAATAGTGATATGTATGTATATACCAAGTTTTTTGTAAACACCATAGAATTGAGAATGGAAACGAGGAATGGGTCAAAGAGACAACAACCCTACCAAAGAGCAGCAAACAGCACAAGGCCACCAATGGGTCTTCAGCGCAGCGAAAATCCCGCACCCGGAGGCGGGCTTCAGCTGCCCCTAAACAATAATGCAAACTGGTCAGCAAAATGGACGCCACACTAAACTCAAAAACATATAAATGAACCAAAATTAAAACAACACACAAGACTTACAAAGGCCAGAGGTTCCTTACTTGGGACAGGCGCAAAAATGCGGCGGGGTCAAACATGTTTTGTGATTTCTCAACATTTTCTTTTTACATCTAGCCGATGTGGAATCAACAAACACACAGCAATACGCACAATAAAACTCAGTCTAAAAGAAGTCCGAGTCCGATATTAGAATAATTAACAGAAGAAACTATCAAAATGACAATGATCAACAAAAATTAACAAAGGACTACTAGCAGTAACTGGAATTCCAGCTCTAGACCTCAATTAAACTGATCAAAAGATTATTTTTTCATCATATGAAAATCGAGCACAATACCTGAATACAGCAACAGTAGTGTACCGCTGTTCAATAGTCATAAATCGATTTCACTGAAACCAAAACCGAGGGAAACACATCAACTATATGAAAATATGAATTATACACACAACTCTACCAATCTTTCCATTACTTTGATTGTCAGAATTAAAGTATCTTACATAACTGAATTTTTTTCTCTCAAATTTCATGAGTTGAAAGGGGTGGTTTTAAAAAGGAAAATTACTCTAGTATTTCTCTTAGTGAAATAATACTTAGAACGACATTCTACAATCTACTCATTATGTTGTTTATTTTTATTGAGGTTATGATTTTAGATTGTCTCTTAGCATCTGCTCTCTTGTGGAGTTGGTATAAAGAAAGTATATCATAATTAGATCAGAAAAAATTTCCCACTCGCCAAACACAAATGTTTGGATCACATCACGGACAATGCTTTGATTTGATAATTTATCAATTTATCAACACATAATTTCATTTCAAAACCCAAAAGGTTCAAGGTGTGTAGTATGTTAACTGAAAATAGATGCAGGTTTTTATGTAGAATGTATTATCATAATTATGCAAGGAGTAGTATTTTCACTAATTTGTAATTGCCCTGGCAAATGGGAAATGTAACAAAAATTGGGACCGGTCTGTCAGCCGCTGTGGACTGGCCTCAGGGTTTATGTATTTTAGGTAAATTTTGTATTTGAAAATACAAAATGTTGTTAGTGTATTAAAAAAATTATATTACCCAGAAACTACACTTGTGACGGAGTGACAAACGGACAAACAATGTGCATCCCTCTTTTAGGCGGAATGATGAGGAGATGTATGATTTCCAATCGGCGCTCCCGTGAAATGTCTTATACCAACACTCCATCATTGTGAATAGAGATTGTATCATTATTTAGTGCAGATGAATAAAAAGAGATGCTGTTAATTATATTCCAATGAGACAGCAACCCAATCACACAAATAACATACAACATAGAGGTCAACATAGAGTCTTATTACAATGTATAATATCTTCGTTATGATAGCCTTCACTCTTCATAATTATATGATGATTTTTGTATTTTATTTTAGATGTTCCGGATTCTAAAACATTTGATGTAACTCTTATGATAACGTTACTTAGAAACCTGACCAGTTTGAACCCTCCTCATAGTGGATATGACAAACTGCCTACTGCTAATGAAGCTACACCAACCTCAGATTTAGCCAGAATAAAATATTACAGAAATATCCTGGCTCACCTTGATGATGGAAAAATAGATAATACTGAGTTCAACACAGCATGGGACGATATAACGGGTGTAAGTAAAATTAAATAAAATACCATGTAGTTCAGAAAATGGGACAATATGACTGGCGTAAGTAATATATAATAATATCATGTACGCCGAAGCATTGTGCAATATTACTGGTGTAAGTAATGTAGAATAATATCATGTACGCCAAAGCATGGGGCAGTACTACTGGTGTAAGTAATATAGAATGATTGATGTTCACCAAATCATGTGGCTATATAACTGATGTAAGTAATTTAAGAAATAATTCATGTGAAGGGAAATGTTTGCTGTTCCCGTAATTGAACACACTATTAGTATTGACGTAAACGACGCAGAAAATTTAATAAGTGACATTCATAAACGATATACGTTTACATACTAAGACAGATTTGGATGAATTTAATTGACTATCTTACTTTCATTTAAGAAGATATGGACACTATACAAATTCTTACCATCAATTATTTTTGTTTTCATGTTTTGACGACTTTCAATTTCTCATTCGTGCATTTTCCCGTAAAATCCTCACATTCTTACGTCATCATTCCATGGCGTCATTTACACCATCTGACGTGAGGTAAATCATTCATAAAAAGTATACGACATGGGAGTAGGATTGGAACAGCCGAAACAAATCATGACGTTGCCTATCAGCTGACATATGAATATATTCGAATTTTGCCGTGGGTGTGTACTCAAAGCGTTTGAAGAACGTCATATTAGAACTAGAATTATACCATGTTCACCAAAGCAAGAGGCAATATTACTGATATAAGTAATATAGAATGATATGATGTTCACCACAGCATGGGGCAAACTTACTAGTGTAAGTAATAAAGAATGATGTGATGTTCACCACAGTATGGGGTAATACTACTGGTATAAGTAATGTAGAATGATATGATGTTCACCACAGTATGGGGTAATACTACTGGTGTAAGTAATGTAGAATGATATGATGTTCACCACAGCAGGGGGCAATGGATGTTAACCACAGCATGGGGCAATTTTGCTGGTGAGTAATATAGAATTATACGATGTACAACAAAGCAAGAGGCAATATTACTGGTGAAAGTTATCTAGAATGATACCATGTTCACAAAAGCATGAGGCAATATTGCTGATGCAAGTAATATAGAATGATGTGATGTTCACCACAGCATGGGTCAATATTACTAATGTAATTAGTATAGAATCGTTTGATGTTCACTAAAGCAATATGCAATCTTACTTGTTATAATTGCCTTACTCAAGATTTATTGTATATTTTTTGTTTTGATGTTGCTATCTCATAAAGTTGAATAACCTACTTAATTAACATGGGGTTTTGTTATTAATGAAAACAGTTAAACATGATATTTTTCAAGGATTATGTTATCTTTTTTGTTATAGATAGCAGCTGAAGTATGCCATTGCTCAGTCAAACTTACCTGAAGTTAACATCAATTTCGTCTATCCACACCAGACCTAAATATAATTTGAATTTTAGTAATTTTATGAAGAGAAATACAGTTGTTGAAGGGAGAAAATGAGTTAGTTACATTCACCTTTGTGATGTTTGTTATCTGTACATTTCCAGGCTATCAGCAGATTAGGTGGACAGCCAATGAAGCAGGAGTGTGATAACTTGAAGACAAAAATACTGGATCAGACTAATCAGGAAATAATGCTGGATATCAAGCGTTCAAATGGTGAAATAATGGAACTGAAAAAATCTTTCGAGAGCTTGATGAAAATCAATGAAGATATGACAGTACAAATGAATAAGTTAAAAACTTCTCAGAAAGATACAGTTCCTTGGAATATTCGAGGTTAATATTTGTCAGTCAATAAATATTTATATATAATTGTATCTCAAGCAACTAGATGGTACCTTGCGATCAGTTTGTCTGACCAAAACTTTGTTATCACCAGGATACAACCTTTTTTTTGGAAAGACCCTTTTTACCTTTTTGCTGTTGTGTAGAGCAATTTTGTGTGAAATGGGCAGTACATGTGTGATACTTGATAACTATACATCTGTGAAAGTAAATAGGTTGCATAAAAAGAGGAAGAAATAAAAAAGGATTGACTGTAAATTTATTTAAATTATTGAAGTATTTTTAGAATGACATGATAAAAAGAGTCGTCAGTTCGGTTATGGCAATATTTGGCCCTGTATATAAAGTCCATTTTTCAAGATAAAAATTCGTTCAAGTTGACAAAAAGACATGTAAGAAAGTGAAATAGATCTATATTTGTCAAGTTTTTCTTAGGTAGCGATATACAGTTAGGAATTTGGTTCCACATTTTGGCCCCCGGTGAATTTTTCAAATATGGAAGTTATTGTACAATAAAATAAATTTTTAGATAGCTGAAGAATAGTATAGCCTTCAAGGTGGGTTCATATGAACATGATGTACATGAAGATTGCTTTTTGCATGCTGTATAGGCCATTTACTGTTTGACACTCAGTATTTTCACATCCGTACCGGCCATAAGTCCAGACATTATTGTAGTGTTTTCCAACAAATGTATTATGCTCGAACTTTTCAAATCAATTTAATGGAAAAATGAGGTGAAATGCATATGTTAAACAATACAGATTCTAGCCATGGTTACACCAAAAAGAGATTATATTTTAACTATCTGAAATCAAATCAATAGGAGATAGGGAAGGAAGAAGGTGGTTAACAATTACGAGTGTCAATTTTCTTTGTTATTTACCTAACTGTGTGTTGCTACCTTATGCATTCATATTTACACCTGAAACAGACAAGAAATAGAGATTTTGGTGAAAATTGGCCAAATTATCTAGATTTGAAATATTTTTAGGCCTAGTAAACATATAGAGCAAAGGCTTCGACAAACTAAATATTCAAATCAGATATGTCAATCAACATAATATTTAAGATCTATTTTGTCGACGCATGCACTACATGTTTCAACTTCTACAACTAATATAATGGAAATTTACCTGTTTTCATTAAGTTTTTAATTGAAATCAAAATTTGTGCTATTTGTGATGTTTTGAAAAGAACGCTCATATATATATATACTTAAATTTTCAACAAGAATACAAATTACCTATCTAATGGCATTGTTTAAGATTTGTTTCATTGTGATATTGGTCAATATATTAAATTTAAGCTAGAACTAGGGGCCATATTCATTATATTAAGGCCTTATCCAACCTATGAACTCCTTTCCAACCTTTCTGAAATTAGATCTTTTTGACACCTTTTATAATTGTCCTACCCATTGAATACTGTTAAACTGGTTACTTCTTTTTACCGTTGGATCATCAACATGTTATGTTTCAAATTATTGTAAGATGATGACAATATTAATTAAATGCTGAATATTCTTCGGTCATTGAGTCCCACAAGGAAAAGATTGGGTAAAAAGGTTAAGCACAACGACTCGGTGTAGACTATAGTTCCCCACATCCATGACGTCAGTAACAATACTCAAAAGAGGGAAATGTTATAATTTATAATGTATATGTAATACACTAAATGACATAATAACAAGAAAGTCAGTAGAAATACCAAACCAGTTAAATTATCCAAACTAGTTCTGACACTTTTTGAGTCCATGAACTTATCTGAAACTGAGATAAAAGATTTTGCGCATTTGCAAAATATAAGATTAAAAAAAAAGTGCACTGTTTAAAGCCTTTTATTTTATTCCCTTCTTCCACTTAATGATACAATTGCAAGTCACCAATATAACTAAGTTAAGACAAAAACTGACTTTTCAGTGATTTTCGTGCTTTACAATGCTTCAGTTAATAAGATCCTCTTCAAATTTGATATGTTTTGTTATGATGATGATGGTTTGGTGTTTCAATGTTCAGTGCAAAATAAAATGCATATTAGGACGAGAACATGTAAATGTGATATGGACCCTACTTTTACTAGACTGAGACACGTAGACGGATTTTTAATGTGCTAGTTCACGAAGGAAGAGTCTGCAGGAAACATTTATCCCAACCCTGGCTCATTGCTCCAACCGACCAATCTTTGTTTGTATTCCTAAATACCGCGTGCTTGATGTAGATTCAGCAAATATCAATTTTGTAGTCTTTGATTTGACCTGGTTGGAGATCTTACCCTCGTCTTTCCACACTCAGGAAGCGCACTAAACCATCGAAGCGGTTGATTGAAGATGTCCACTCATCAAAACCTCAGTGTTCGATAATCAGAAAATTCTGAAACTGGGGACCATTTATTGGAGAAGTGTTGTTCCCTAATAGATGTTCTTTTTTGTTTATATTATAAAAACAACTTAATTTTAAACATTATAAGTCTCTGAAATCATAAATTAAAGGAATCATACCTTATAGTAAACTGAAAATAGTAAGAAAGCCGTCCGTAATAATCTCTTATTCTTTATGTTGGGGCTTGTGAGCTTGCTGGTTAATAGTTCTTTAACTTTAAATAAACATGATAGATTCCTTTGCAAAGGGCAATGAAATCATTTATAAAACATTGTATGAGATTTGGTTTATTCATTCAGATAAAAATATACAACATAACAGTAAAAATGCTTTTAGATGTCAATGACTACAATAAGACACGTACAACTGGTTAAGTTTAAAAAAGATATTTTATTTTCATAATATATTAACTATATATTTGTGTTAAACTTGGTTGTCAAATTTCAGTGAAATTATTGTAAATAAGTAAACTTATTCGTTAACAAATTCAATATCCAGCCCTGAATCACAACCATAACCAATTGTATCAAGCACAAAATGATCTGAATAAATTCCATAATATGTATGTTGTTATTTATATTTCAGTACAAATCAATCAGATCATTGTGGAATGGCAGGACAATGACAAGAGGTTTATAACAACCAGAGCTGCCGAACATGTACTGGAATGTATAAAAGAGAACAGTTGTGTAACTATTACTGCTAGTTCTGGTGTGGGTAAGACGGCCACACTCCGACATGTGGCTTTACAAATGGCAAAAGAAGGGTACGATGTACTTCTTGTTACAGATCCAAGTGATATTGTCAAGTTTTACAATCCAAACCAGAAAATGTTGTTTGTTTTTGATGATTTATGTGGAAACTATTCTTTTAACCAGACTGACATGAAAGTATGGGAACCAGTCATGAAGCAAATAAAAAAGATCCTTTTAAATAAACTTTCTAAAATAATTGTAGCATGTCGATTACAAGTGTATCAGGATGACAAATTCGAATCTTTATCAGTTTTCAAATCATGTGTATGTAACCTTTTATCAGATAGCATCTGCTTGTCAAAAGCAGAAAAACAATCAATAGCTGAGTTATATCTGAAAACAAAAGCTCCTGAGATTGCCGAGTCTTGTGATTTGTATGATTGCTTTCCACTTTTATGTAATTTGTATCATGAAAATCCTGCACTAGATATAAAAGAATTTTTCCAGAGACCATTTTCTGTTTATGAAGCAGAGATTGACAAGCTACAGAAAAAAGAATTTTGTAGTAAATACTGTGCTTTGGCTTTATGTGTCATGTTTAACAACAATTTAAAGGAAGAAACGCTAACAGAGGAGGTGATGGAAGAAACCAGAACCATTATTGAGAATACATGTGAATCATGTGGACTGGACAGAGGGACATCAAGGCTTACTTTACAGGATGAACTGAACACACTTATACATACATTCCTGAAAAAAGAACAAAACATATACAAAACTATTCATGATAAAATATTTGACTTTCTAGTGTACTACTTTGCACGGAAAATAATCCACTGCTTGATGAAGAATGCACATAGTAGTTTAATCAATGAAAGATTTTTGTTAGAAAGAGAAGACAATATGAATCAGTTTATAACAATTTTGCCTCCTAAGTATCATGAAATGTACATACAAAGAATGATTGATGACTGGTCAAAGGGTAAAGTCCATGAAGTATTTTGTAACATGAATATGACAAAGCCACAGTTTAGAAAGCAATTTATCAGTCTTTTGAATAATCTGGACATATCATATCAGATACGATTAGCACACACCAGTGATGTAAATCAATACGAGTTTACTGTACTGATGATGGTTTGTTTTTTAGGTGATATTCCTATCACCAACTGGTGCTTAAGTCATGGTGTTGATGTTAATCAGTGTAGTAGTGATGGTTGGTCACCTATAATGTGTGCTTGTAAAAATGGACATACAGGAATAGTCAGAATGTTGTTAGACATGGGAGCAGATTATAATAAATGTAACAGTACTGATTGGTCACCTGTGATGTGGGCTTGTAGTAAGGGACATAAAGAAATAGTTAGGATGTTGTTAGACATAGGAGCCAATTATGATAAATGTAACAGTAATGGTTGGTCACCTGTGATGTGGGCTTGTCGATATGGACATACAGAAATAGTAAGGATGTTGGTAGACAAAGGAGTTGATTGTAATAAAGGTTGGTCACCTATACAGTTTGCTTCTAGATATGGACAAACAGAAATAGTAAGGATGATGTTAGACAAGGGATTAGATTATAATAAAGGTTGGTCACCTGTAATGCCTGCGTGTAGATATGGAAATATAGAAATAGTAAGGATGTTGTTAGACAAAGGAGCAGATTATAACAAATTTGACCGTCGTGGTTTATCACCTCTAATGAGTGCTTGTAGTGAGGGACATACAGAAATAGTAAGAATGTTGTTAGATGTAGGAGCAGATTATAATAAATGTGACAATAAAGGTTGGTCATCTATAAAAAGTGCCTGCAGTAGTGGAAATATAGAAATAGTAAGGATGTTGTTAGACATAGGAGCAGATTATAATAAATGTGACAATGATGGTTGGTCACCTCTAATGTATGCATGTAGATATGGACATACAGAAATAGTAAGGATGTTTTTAGACTTAGGAGCAGATTATAATAAATGTGCCAATAAAGGTTTGTCACCAGTAATGTGTGCTTGTACATATGGACATACAGAAATAGTAAGGATGTTGTTCAACAAAGGAGCAGATAATAATAAATGTAATAGCTATGGTTTGTCACCTGGTACAATGGTAATGGTTGCTTGTAGTAAGGGACATACAGAAATAGTAAGGATGTTGTTAGATATAGGAGCAGATTTAAATCAATGTAACAATAATGGTTGGTCACCTTTAATGAGAGCTTGTAAAAACGGACATACAGAAGTAGTAAAAATGTTGTTAGATTCAGGAGTAGATTATAATAAATGTAACAAGAATGGTGTGTCACCTGTAATGAGTGCTTGTAGTTATGGGAATACAGAAATTGGAAATACAGAAATAGTAGGAATGTTGTTAGATATAGGAGCAGATCATAAAAAATGTGACAATGATGGTTGGTCACCTGTTATGTTTGTTGGAAATTTGGACAAACAGAAATAGTAAGGATGTTGTCAGACATAGGAGCAGATTATAATAAATGTAACAAGGATGGTGTGACCCCTGTTATGATTGCTTGTAGATATGGACATACAGAAACAGTAAGGATGTTGTCAAACATAGGAGCAGATTATAATAAATGTAACCGTAATGATTGGTCACCTGTAATGTGGGCTTGTAGATATGGACATACAGAAACAGTAAGGATGTTGTTAGAGATAGGAGCAGATTATAATAAATGCAACAAGGATGGTCAGTCACCTGTGATTATTGCTTCTAAAAAAGGTTACAATGATATAGTTAGTTTGATAAATGAACACTCTAGCTGAGTTATTATTTTGTATATTGTTTTGTCAAAGGCACAACTCTTTTTTATCAGACAAAATCTACAGGCGCTTGTGGGGTGGACTCCTTTTGTTAATTTTTGTTTTGTATTCAAAATTTTTTAAAAGTAAATTTTCTTTAATTTTTAACCGGATTTTCGAAGGAAATATTGGTTATTGATTTGGGGATGTACGGCGGGCGGGCGGGCGGAGGTGACATGAAAACGCTTGGACAATTTTTTTTCAAATTTAGATATGTTGTTACCTGTGACTAAATGAAGGTCAAGTTCAATTTTCACGATTTTAGCTTTTCTCCTTGTTGACTTATTGCCCTTTTAATATCCAAAAGAGGTATTTTTAATGTGGATGAGTTATTTCTCTTTGAACAGAAATGGTTAATTATATATATAAAGTTTGATTACACTAACATGACTAATTTTCACCTGTTGATAGATAAGAGCATCTGGTAAATGTCTCACACAATTATAATTGGATTGACTTTATTTGAAAATTTTCTGTTTTCTAAGTGTTGATGATTTTAAGCTATATACTATATTCCGAATACACTTATGGCCCCATTTCCCATGTTATAACAGGAGACCTTAACATCGTTCGCGACCGAGAGTTAAAATCATTCCTCAGTAAAGGACCTAAATATCGTCCCCCGTCAATTAATAATTGGAATGAGTGTCGTAATATCATCCACGACTCACTTCGTGCTTACTGTTTGAAATGGATAAAACGGGAAAAAGCTGACAAAAAATCTTTGGACTCTTTTTTTAATTTAGTAATGTAGATAGTTGATATACGTATACAACATTTTAAAGAATATTTTACTCTTAACAACAACCATAAAAATCCTATTTCTCGTATCAAACATAAACTTAAAGAACTAGCCAAGGAATTTGTTTTTTGTCCCGGCTGATAAAGCTGCTAATAATATCATTATAGTTTGACGTAAATTTTACATTGAGGTTCTGCAAAAGGAAATCACCAATTCACCAACATTCCAACTGACTTCATTTTCAGAAAACGATATCTGTAACAAACATAAACTATTAGCTACTTCTTTACAAGCAGAACCAAATACAATGAAAGTCCCAACTATGTACCGGCTTCCGAAGCTACACAAATCACCTTACAAATATAGATTTATTTCGTCTTCAAGTCATTATTCCACTACTAAATTGTCTATTGTACTTACTAGTACACTTGGTACAATCAAAAACCTGATAATAAATTGTTCAAATAAGGCCATTGAAAATAGTGGTGTTAATTACTTTTGGAGTGTCAAAAACTCGTTGGAAGTACTTGATAAATTGCATGCATATATTGGTGATTTTGAATCTGTTCAAAGTTTTGATTTTTCTACCCTATATACCACTTTGCCTCATATTCTTATTAAGAAACACACCTAATTAAATGGGCATTTAAAAAGTCGGAATGCGAATACATATGTTCAAACTCTTTTAGGTCATTTTTTAGTAGCAACAAACAAAAGAACTATGTCAATTGGACATGCTTTGATACTATATCTGCCCTTGAATTTTTACTTGATAACATTTGTGTTCGCTTTGGAGATTCCGTATGTCGTCAAGTTATCGGAATACCAATGGGGACTAACTGTGCACCACTTATTGCGGACCTATTTTTGTATTGTTATGAGTTACAATTTATGACTAAAATCAGCAAAGACCCATCGAAACAATATCTTATACAAACATTTAACAATACTTTTAGATATTTGGATGATATATTGGCTCTCAATAATGACGACTTCAGTATGTATACTAAAGAAATTTATCCTGTTGAACTTACTTTAAATAAAGCTGATACTAACAATAACCACTGTCCTTTCCTCGATCTTGATATCTATATCATTAACGGGAAGCTTAATACAAAAATTTATGATAAAAGAGATGATTTTTCATTTCCTATCGTTAATTATCCATTTTTAGATGGTGATGTTCCCTTGTCACCATCTTATGGTGTTTATATATCTCAACTTGTACGATTCGCTCGTGTATGTAACAACGTATTAGATTTTAGCGAGAGAAATTTATGTATTACTGAAAAATTATTACACCAGGGTTTTCGATATCATAAACTAGTCAAAACATTTACTAAATTTTATCATCGGTATAAGGACATCATTCGTAAATATAACTCAACATGCAGACATCTTATACGTTCGGGTATTTCACATCCAATCTTTTATGGTAATATTCTTTACAAAGCACAAAAATGTCAGTGTTCACCTCAAAAGCTAACAAAACCTTTAAACAGACTTATTAAGAAGGGATATAGTTACGATACTGTTGTCAGGTCATTAAAGATTGCATATTTTGGCTTTAATATTGATTCACTTATAGGGTCTTTGCATCGGAATTAACACATTTATTCTAAAACCAGTTGTTGGCATGACACGGGTTATGTTCTTCTCATATATTTTATGACGGTATAATACTAAACCCCTAACAGGAGGGATTGTGCCTGATATTCATATGATGAAGACATAATCTTTCAATCAGTTTAATTGAGGTCTGGAGCTGGCATGTCAGTAACTGCTAGTAGTCTGTTGTTATTTATGTATTATTGTCATTTTGTTTATTTTCTTTTGTTTCCTATTCTGACATCGGACTCGGACTTCTCTTTTACTGAGTTTTACTGTGCGTACTGTTGTGCGTTTGTTTTTCTACATTGACTAGAGGTATAGGGGGAGGGTTGAGCATTTTTGCGGCTGTCCCTAGTCAGGAGCCTCTGGCCTTTGTTAGTCTTGTATCATTTTTAATTTTAGTTTCTTGTGTATAATTTGGAGTTTAGTATGACGTCCATTATCACTGAACTAGTATACTTATTTGTTTAGGGGCCAGCTGAAGGACGCCTCCGGGTGCGGGAGTTTCTCGCTGCATTGAAGACCCATTGGTGGCCTTCGGCTGTTGTCTGCTCTATGGTCGGGTTGTTGTCTCTTTGACACATTCCCCATTTCCCTTCTCAATTTTATATAGGACTGTATAGATAAAGTTAGAAATTTACTGTTCATTATTAGACATTTTGAAGATAATTACAGATAAGTTTTATAGATTTTTAAAAGACATTGTATTAATGATAAATAAAATTTTGATTTTTTTTCTTTTCTTTGGTAAATTGTTTGAAGAATTTTGTGGTACGTTTGTTTGTTATTATGTAAAAACTAATTTTCTGAATGCTATATATATTTTTTTCTTTTCTTTGGTAAATTGTTTGAAGAATTTTGTGGTAGGTTTGTTTATTATTCTGTAAAAACTGATTTTCTGAATGCTTTATATACTTTTTTGTTGAAGAAAACTCCTTTAAAAACTAAGCTTATAATGTCTATTAATAAACATATATTAAGATTTCTGAATTTGGGCCCAGTTTTCAAATTGGTCCAAATGGGGTCCACAATTAAACTGTGTTTGATTTCAACATAAATTGAAAATATATAGGTTCTTTGAAATGCTGAATCTAAACCTGTATTTATTTTCATTATTAATTAAATAATATCACATTGAGGTCTAAAGGGTCTTAAATTAAACTTTTGTTTAATTTCATCAAACGTTGGGGTTCTTTGATATGCTGATTCTAACAATATTTTAGTGATTGCATCATATCTAATTTTAGAGTATTTAGTTATCACTGGTTGTTTATTATGATTATTGATTATATATATTTGAGTTATTATATGAATTTTGAGTTATTTCCCTTTAAACAGAAATGAGTATTTCATAAAAAATTTAATTCTTGGGGTTCTTTGATAATGCTAATTCTTACAATATACTTAGATTTTGAATATTGAACCATAAAAGGTAAATGTCTAATTTCAAATTTTTCAGTTCTTTGACTACATTCATTTTGGGTCCCTAACCTATGCTGTGTCAAATATTCAATCAAAATCAAAATTCAGAGCTGTTTTAAGCTTAAATGTTTTGTCCATACTTGCTCAACTGTGCAGTGTTTGACCTCTGCAGGAAAATCCGGTTTGCTGTCACTCTGACAGCCTCTTGTCTTTTAATATTTCAACTTGAATTCACTAATGTCTGCTAAGTACCGAATGTGACCTATTCCCGAATATGACTGTTTTGCCGAGTGTGAATTCGCATTGCTATACGACGTGTTTCGGTATTTAATCATCCACCATTCATGTATTTAGTTATGATGTTTTTTTTGTAAGTTCGGTTGGATATTGTGTTATGTCCTATCGTTTGTGGTTTAAATTCTGTATTTTCGGTACATTTCACATGTCTTATTTGTCAGTATAGTCGAGTTAGTTTCCATTTTTCCATGGATAAAGTATTGTGTTAGTCCAAATAATTATGACGTCGTCACAGCATTAATTTAAGATAGCCTTTCAAGACCGTCATAACCATGATAATTATTTGGACTAGTATTGTGAAAATAATTGTGAATTTTTGGATCTCGTTCCATATAATTGTATGATTATATATACGTCACAAAAATACGTCACTTTCCTGTGCTGTCGCTAATGGGAGATGTCTGTTGTGATTCTGCGATTTACATGTTGTAATGTACTATTATATTATTTATTTATGCATTTTGCTGTGCTGAGTGTTCTTGCGTTTGTTTGTACTTCATGTCATGTAGTGTTGTCATTTTAGCGATATTTTTTAACATTGCCATATAAGCGGGAGGTTTGGCTAGCCATAAAACCAGGTTCAACCCACCATTTTTCTTTAAATGTCCTGTACCAAGTCAGGAAGTTGGCAGTTGTTATCAGATAGTCCGTTTCTATGCATGTTGGCGTTTGTTTTTGTTGCAGTTCAGTGTTTCTGTTGTTCCGTTATTTTTCTCTTATAGTTGATGTGTTTCCCTCG